GGGATTCTCCTCAGGATCTATGACATCCCCTACCTTTTCTTTTATTTGGACTCCTGAAATAACTGTTCCTATTTGAGCCACTCTCACTTGCCTTTTTTCCACGTCCTACCTTGAAAACCTAAACTTTGAATTCTTGAAGACTAGAACCATTGATAATTATCGAGAGTTTTCCCAAATGACGGGAAGTTTTTTAATCTTTGTATTAAATAGGGAAATTTGTCGGTCATATATAAAAGGTTCGCAGACCAAACGGATGTCACAAATCTCTTAGTTTGCAGGATTGGGTCTATCACTGAGGTCTACACTTATCTCTCGGGAGGGTGTAGTATTCGCGGTATCAGGCACGATTATGCAAACTATCAGACTAATGAGATCCATTTGGTCTCATTTTTCAAAAATTAAAACATACTACTTTTAAAAATCAAACTATATATCTTTTATACTTAAATTAAATCTCAAAAATTATTTTCATATACCATATTTTCAAAATTAATCAATCGAAAAAACTTCCTTGTTTTCATCTCCATATATTTTTTAAACTATAGTGTCACTGCTCGAACAATCAATATTAGTACCTCTCGCAAATTGGTAAATCGTTAAAAGGTTACATGGTAATATAAATCATTCTAAATGAAACCCAAGCATAAAAATTGCTACATTTTAACGAAGAAGTGCTTGCCCTAATCTAATATGCAATTTATATTACTGGAAAAAAATATATCACAATTTTTACTCAATCATTGAAGAGCATATATCCTAAATTATATTGATGAAAACTCAAATAGGTCCCATTGTTTCTCAAATCTCAGCGCTGACCTGAAGAAAATAATCAATCTTGAAAATAAGTTTACATGAAAAACTGTTGCATGGGTTTTTTGTTTGTCTAGTAAAAGAGTAGAGAGGTAAAATAGATAAAAAATGAGTAAGCAAATAAGTATGAGAAACAGAAAATAGAAACCGTTAAAAAAACTACCAAGTAATCAAACACAGCACAATATCCTACTCTTCTTTCATAATATGCTAAGCGCATGGTTAGATGAGTACTTCTTTAAGTGAAACTCGGCAAGGCTAACTCAAAAAAGCATTAAAACAATAAAGTATGCAGTATACGGCATAGTGAAACAAGCTGCCTTAACTGTTCTACTATCATAAACTCTTGACCCCACTGGCTTTTCCTTGTAAGAAAAAATATACTGTGATTGCTCGTACAATTTTCCGAGCACATCCCCACCTCACCAAAAATTGATGCTAACAACATACTGATATTGAACTTTCTACCAAATTAACTTCTCTAGCTACTTCCTCTCTCAACTGTTCTAGCTTGGTCAACATTAATTTCTGCTCTGATAGATTACTTTTTTGTCAATACCGCAGAGAAATATGTACCGTCTTTCAGCGTTCTAAGAAATCTCAATTACTGCTTCTTTAAGCTGGCATACTCAATTAACTCTCTGTAGCACACGGCATACATATACACATGAAAGAAGATGCAGGATGAGACAATTTAAAAAAAAAAGTGCATAAACAGCGACCAAGATGTGAAAGAAAATAATAAGCATGCAGAACAACTAGTAGGACGGTTCAACCAATGAAAAAATTGTTCATACATGCAGAAAAAAAAAAATTACCTAAACAATGCATTTAGAATGCATAAAATAACACATTACCTTTTCCATTCTCTTTATGATTTTACTACGTGTTTTTTCCTGTCTCTCAGTCAACAGCCCTTTGTATGTTTGCCATGTAATTTCATCTGCATCACTCTAGAAGATGAGCATATTTTAATAGCTCAATCAGTCACAATACATTTTAAGAAAAAATAAATCAACATGTAAACAAAAGCCTGCTCCAGTATGGGAAAATTCGTAAAAGCCTCTTTACTCCTTAAAAACAGCAACGCACAAAGAAATTGTCTGGCAAAAATGATATATAAGTTGATTCCATAAAATTGGATTGACTTATTTTATTGCTTGAAGCCACAAAACTCAGTCTCTCACCAATTATTTTGTCATCATTAATAACAACACCAAAAATTTATTACATAGGGTCCAGAAACCAGATAAAGGTAATGTTGTTAAGCAAGATCCCCAGTATCTTCAGTAATTAAGAAAAGATAAATGCTGGTAGTAAATGCTTGATGAGGAATTTACTTGCGACACTTCAAGTTGCTCATAATGAGTAAATAAGAAATCAGATTTGAAAAGAAAAAATTAAATAAGACAAGCTCAATTACCTCTGGATCTTCTTCAATGGCATCTTCAGCCATCCCCCACGAAATACCATTCGCAAGGGAAGCTGCTTCTTTTGCACGCAAAAGTGATGCTTCCCGATCAGAAATTGCTTCATGGAGTTTGACCTTTCTAAAATTATGCAAATCACCCTCCTGCATGATTAAATTAAAGCAACAAATTATCTGTAAAAAGAGATACGTAAAGAGTAACTATATTGGAAATAAGGCAATAATATCATATATATGAGAACTAACATTTGGCCAAATATAAATTAAATTGCATTTATCACGAACAACAGACAGTATTACAAAGCATTTATCACGAACAACAGACAGTATTACAATTATATTTTTTTAGCATTGCACTACATGATGTAGATCATCAGCACAATAAATAAGAAAGAGAAATCAAGGGATGAAGCTATAAGATAATCAAAAGAAGAAATTTTTATCAAAAAGTTTCATAATATGCACATATTTGAATTTGTTCCAGTGAATTAAAGGACAACTTTTTATTGTTATATTCATCCTGAATCGTTTTCTTTATTATTTATCACTTTGTTGGATATTTTGAAGTTTCCCGCATTTTCTGAGGAACAGTCCCTCAGAAGATCTATAGGAAATGCGGATTCAACCAAAGAATTCATAGGTGAGACGTAAGATGCGTGCATAGGTTAGCATCTGAGGGTTGTTTAGGGGCATGGAAGAAAAGACACGGTTCTCTAGGATGCCCAAATGGCATGCTATTCAAGTGAATACGGTAGCCTAAAAATGACTTTCACATACTAATGCAAATGAATGCACGTAGAATGCAAATCAACATTTATTAAAAAAAACAAATAAATCCAAATAACAAACACAACAAGTATCTGGAGAGAGTGAGCGGAAAACCAGCAAAAAAATTTAACATTTTGAGTTTTCTATGCTAGACTTTGGAATCAAGAGGTTATAAAAAAACTACTTTTAAACCATTTCAGCATGACTCAAAAGATATTTAAGAAAGAAGAATGATTGGTTGAATTTATTAATTGGGTACTTTATGAATTTAATCAAGCAAAAACTAGGTGATTAAAACTTTTATTAGGCTAAATAAACCCTTAGTGATACAAAGCGAAACACTGATTAAACCAAATTTTCATAGTTAAGACTTCATTTAAATCTAATGATCCCCGTGATTGATTAGGCAACCTTGCTTAATTATAATTTTAAGGTAAACAAAAAAAATTAATTAAAGATAAAATAATCCAAAAGAATAGAGAGAAAAGATATGGATGATAGGTAATAGCAAACACAGACTTGCCACTATATAACTAAAGAGTAACAAAAAATAGTTTATCTTATTTTAGAATTAGTATATACCTTCCTCCTCCTTAGTAGCTACTGATTTATGAAATCTTCATCTTCCTTAGTATTAAAAATTACAGACTATTGCAAACCTCTATCATCCTTGGCAGCTATTATCAGCACTGAATGTAAGGAATTATTGTAAAAGATATAGACTTCCATAAACAGGCCTCATGATGTGACAAGACCAACATGTTCGCAACAGCCATTAAGGATTACTGCCTCAAATTACAACAATGTCTGAGATGCTTACTAACGAGTAACAAAAGATGGTTTGCAAATGTCTCTTCTGAAATAACTAAAATAGCAATACTAATTTTATTTAGAAAGATAGGAGGAATTCTCAGTCTTACAGGTGGCATTAGCTCTGATGGACCTTTAAAAATGTAGAGCCGTGAGGACCTGTTAAAAAAAAGAAGTTAAAAAGATATTAAGGACCAAAAAAAAATAACAGCCGCAGAAGTATGATCACCCAAACCATTTATACATGAGCCATAGTACCATTTACCTATGGATTTGACATCAAGAAGAGGCAAAAGCAAATATGAAATGAAATGCACAAAATAACCAAAAAAAATAAAAAATAAACTCATCAATTTCAATACGTAATACAAGTTGCCAATTCAAAATAAAGGCGTTTAAATTTGTAACATATTACACAATAACCCAATAAGCATAAAAGCATATGACATTACCCACCAAAGAAGTCAACTAATTAAAACTTCTCTCCCTGTCGGTCAACTTTTTGCTTTCGAAATGTATTTTTATAGTTTTGAAAAGTAGATGATTTAATTTAACCTAAAAGGTATATAATTTTATGAAAATAGTGTATGTATATAATTAAAAAAATGAGACCAGCTGGATCTCATTTGCCCAATAATTTGTATAAT